TGGGAGTTGAAGTCCGGATATCTTCAAGTTGCCAAGGTTGGGAAACGCTGCTTTAGAAGGTTAAGTGAAGATGAGCATGAAGTACTGTAGACATTTGTATGGTGTTCAGAGGTGGTGTTTTGCCAGTTGAGATCGGTTCGCCCGAACCCGCAGTGGAAATCGTGGGTGGGCCCTCCTCTCCCACTCACCCCAGCTCTATGCCGTCCCATTTAGGCAGTTTTTTAGCCAAAGGGGATGTGCGGAAGGCTAAGCACATGTGTGGCGTACACGCATGCTCACATTTGCGAACTGGTAGGGAAGATGAGTGAATACCACCCCTGATGATGTAAGATAACTGCTGTGAGGAGGATTGCGTGGGATTACTCGTTTTGCAAACAGAAGGATCTTTGATCTGTGGATGTTTCCAGAAATGTCACCATCATAAGTCAGCTTTGCTAGATCTCATCTTATGGGCTCCTTGGCGGTCTCTGAGCTGGGTGGATTACTTGCAGGCATTTCATTATCCAACTAGATAACATCATCAGAGCCTCTGCAAGAAAACAAACAAACTCAGAGAGCATCAAGGACCCCACAATCAGCTCCTCCTCCTCCTCCCACAAACCCCATTCCCTTCTATCACTGATGATGTTACCTAGATGGGTAATGAAATGTCTGCAAGGAAACATCCCAGCTCAGAGGGCACCAAGGACTCCACAGCTCAAACCTTGAGTCACAAATATTCTCCTCTATAGATCTCAACCTGTAAGTTTGAGGGAAACTGGGAGATACCGTGAAATACCACTTAACATTCACCCCAGTGTTGGGTTCCGGCAGTCACTACTGCCAATTGGCTCGTGGGTGCGCCGTGTGAAAGCGCGTAAATGCGCAGTATAATAAAAATTGTTCTGTTCATGCGCAGAAGCAAAAAACAACTGAGGGTGTGGGAGGCCTGGGTCGCTGCTGGTTCCACCGACCCAGGTCGCCAAACCACTACCGGTTCAGCCGAACCGATCCGAACCGGTAGGTATCCACCACTGATTCACCCCCTCATTTGCTAACTGGCTGGAGTTGCTGGGAGTCTAGAACTATCTTGAGGAACACTGGTACCCCACCTTTGGAGTAAATTGATTAGGATGTCTCTCCCTTCCTTCGTGGGATCCTTTTTGCTGCGTCCTCTAACAGCCGTCTCCCTTCTTCTCTTTCAGCCATACCCACTCTTCTGGTTCTATGGCCACTGTGCGGGAATGGTCCTGCACCCGCTGTACTTTCCTGAATCCCGTGGGACAGCGCCAATGCTCCATCTGCGAGGCCCCCCGCCAGAAGCCCGACCTCAATCACATCTTGCGCCTGAGCGTGGAAGAGCAGAAGTGGGCCTGCGCCCGGTGCACCTTCCGGAACTTTGTGGGCAAAGAGGCCTGCGAGGTGTGCGGCTTCACCCCCGAACCCGGCCCCGGGGGCTCCCCTCTGCCAATCCTCAATGGGGTCCTGCCGAAACCCACCGTCCTCGTAGAGCCCAAAGCCAGCTGCAAGGAGGAGTTGCCCCAAATGGAGAGCCCTGTTGAAGATTCGGGGGGGAAGAGCCCCGAGGAGGCAGAGCTGGAGGAGGGCTGGGCCTGCCAACGCTGCACCCTCCACAACACCCCCGTCGCGAATTCTTGCTCGGCCTGCGGGGGCCCCCGAAAGCTCTCCCTGCCCAAGATCCCTCCGGAGGCATTGGTGGTCCCCGAAATCATCACTCCCGCCGGTTTCCAGATCGCACCCGCCACCGAGACCCCGGAGGGCCACCCGGCCGCCAACCAAGGCACAATCCTTGTGGAGGAAGAGAGCCAGAAGATGCCAGCCTTCAGCCTTTTCTCCCCGGGTCTCCAGAACAACCCCGTTCCCCGTAGCCGCCGAGAGGTTCCCCCGCAACTCCAGCCCCCGGCTCCCGAAGCTTCCCAACCGGCGTCTCCACCAACCCCCGTCCAGAAGGCCATCCACTTCCAGGAAATGATGGCGACCAAGCGGCTGAGCATGCTGGAGGAAGAGATGGACATCAGCGTGCCGTCCTGGCAGTGCAGCACCTGTTCCCTGGTCAACACCTCGGGGAGCGAGGCCTGCGAGGCCTGCAGCAGCCAGAAGGGCAGCGACACTATCGACCTGACGGGCGACTCCGTTCGCTTCACCCCCTGCGGGCCCTCCAGCCCCGACTTCACCACCTGGTCCTGTTCCAAGTGCACCTTGAAGAACCCCAACGCTTCCCAGAAGTGCAAAGCCTGCGGCTCCTCCAAATTACATGGCTTTCAGGAACATAGCTTGCAGCCCGACCCAGCTCCCAAGTGTCCCGAATGCGGCTCGGACAAAGGCCGATGTGTGGCTTGCAGCACCCGTGCTCCTTCTGCCCGCAAAGTCGCCCGTCTCTTCCCCTTGCAGCCCCCGGTCACCCCCGAGCGCGCCAGCCAGTGGGCGTGCCCAGCTTGCACACTCCTCAACGAGCTGAAGGCCAAGCACTGCCTTGCCTGCCACACTCCCCAAGTCTACATGGCGCAGCGCAGGGGCATCAAGCCGCTGCGGCGGCGCGAGAGCATGCACGTGGAGAAGCGACGGCAGACGGACGAGGGGGAGGCCAAAGCCCTCTGGGAGAACATTGTCTCCTTCTGTCAAGAGGTGAGTTGACACCCGCAGCTCTGGTTTGTCGGCGGTTGCTCCTAGCACAGATCGGTATTGCTCTTACACATGGCAACTCTGGCTTGGTTACCTGTCCTGACATTGCCAGGCTCCGAGAAGACCACATAGAATTACTTAGTTTCTTTTAAAGGTGGTTCAGTGGCTAAGATGCTGAGCTTGTCTATCAGAAAGGTCAATAGCAGTAGACTTATATACCGCTTCATAGGCCTTTCAGGCCTCTCTAAGCGGTTTACAGAGAGTCAGCATATTGCCCCCAACAATCTG